TATCTGCCATCGTCTGTCGCGCCGCAGTTGTACATCCCCTCTTCTTCTGCAAATATCGGTCACTTTGACTGAAATTTTGCTGACTATCACCCCGGCAGCGTCAGAGTCACAAGTTTCACAATGATATCCTAGTTAGTTCGTGGAACACGCAAAACTGAACTCAAATGCTGTATGCTTCAAATCACCGGATTAAAAATCAGTTCGGGTGTGTTCGGCAGGGGCAAAGCAAAATCCTTGACGGATTTACGCTTTTCCGTCGCAAAGATCAACGGTGTTCGGGTTTTCTGCGTTTTCGTCAAGTATTATGTCTCTTTCCTATTGTACTACATAGCTCCTGTTTTACGCCCACACGGGCTCAACAGCACACATCTGGGCGCCGCAGCCCTGGATAAGTGAGGATTACTGGCGCCGGCTGGATAGGTTGGATAACGTGTGTTCCTCGTCCCGCATCTCCTGCCTCCCTTTCCAATCCTCTGCCTCGGAGCAGGTTTGCGAGGCCCTGAGCTTGGCTCACGCAACAGTCTGCTCCCTCTCTGGTATCGGCGGATCCGTCGTCAGCGAGTGGACGACATCCATCTGGGCGCCGCAGTACGAGGCGAGCGAAGATTCCTGGCGGCGCGGGCTGCAGGGTCTGCGGCGCTGCTACGTTGACGCACAATAACGGGATAATGGCTCGTTCGTCTGCGTTAACAAAGTAGAACCGGGCCACTCAACTCTTCAATTGGGTCAGATTCCGTTCTTCTTTCTCGGCGGGTAACACCGGTAACATTTAACAATTCCCAATCCACCTCAACCTTATCTCGTAGAGCGAGCTCCGATTTTACGATGAGTTCTCCACATACTGCACAGCCAGCCTCCTCAAAGGTGGAGGGTTCCAAGTCTTTGCGCATTCCGGTGATGATTTTATGCCGCAGTTGCATGGGTTGTTTCGGTGGAAATGGATACACCTCATTTTTTGGGCAGGGTGAAAGTGATGTGACGCTGCACTGACGTTTGACTGACGCTGTGACGTTTTGCAATTGACGCAGATCAGCGCTTGATTGACGCATGCTGTCACACTGATGCATTGTCACACTCCAGTCAAACTGTAGGATTTCCTTTAGCATCATCAAACGCTGCAACGACGTCGTATTTCGTACATATTTGCTTCGATTATTACCCATAAATCTTGTGTACGAGTAATTTTATCCAACTGACCGGCTGTGGACCCGCAGTACATCTCCTCCGAATCCAGTTCAAAATGCATGATCCCTGTGTTACAACTTATATGGGACACTAGGACTACTGAGAAGCATCCTTAATATCAGGATTAGGGCTCAGGTTGGGCTCAGGCTTGCCAGAACCTTCATGTTTGGAAACACTGGGCATAGAACACGCAGTACGATAGGCTCGAAACCAGCCTGTCTTTCGAAACTTAGTTGTGTCGATAGACAGGCTGGTCGATCGGAGTTTAAAATCTCGTAACGCGCGAGATACCGCATTTGGTATATTTGTAAGCAGCATCAATGAGCTCATGTAACAGTCGTAAACAACACGTATTTTGCCTTCTACCACCGCCTGGGACGCGACCACCAACTTCTATGCTTACTTTTCTTGCCTATGGACCATCCTGAGGTCGTCTGGGATGCAGAGCTGCAAGATTTACTCCAGGATATCCGTAATTCTCCTCTGTACGACCTCGAATCTCTGGCTGCCGAGTGTCTGCCATCCGATGCGCTCCCCAACAACTATTTAAACTCCTTGGATGCCGAGCACAAAACCGTCGCTTTGAGAGCATGTCTTATTGTTCACATTATCAGCAAATATCGCATAATACCACACCAATACCAGCTAGAAGCAACCAATGGACTAGAAGATCGTCGCGATGTCCTCGTGAACTCCGGCACTGGCTCCGGGAAGACTCTATGCCTCATAATCCCCAACCTTTTGCATCCCAACACCAGCTCCATGACTATTTCACCCCTTAAACGACTACAAACTCTACAGGTGAGTCATTGATCTATCATTCACCGTCGAGTCTGTAAAACGTTTCCACAGGCTGAAGAACTAGAAAAATGGGGAATACGGACAATATACATAAACGAGGAGACCCCTAATGATAAAGAATTATGGACCGTGCGTGCTCCTTCATTCTTTCAGTCGCTTTTTCTCTAACCATGATGCAGAAAATAAGTAGCGGCCACTTCCAACATCTAATTGTTCAACCAGAGCAGCTTAAATCCTTCAATGGCCATCTCCCTCGACTCGCTAGACTTCTCAATGATCCGAAGTTCGTCAAAACGATTGATAGAGTTCACGTCGATGAGGCGCACTTCATCCGCACTGCCGGCTTGCCTCTCTATGGCCTCCCCGCATTTCGTCCGTCCTGGGGCACATTGAATGAACTGCGGATCCGACTTCCGAAAGACACTCCAGTCCAAGCCCTATCCGCCACTTTCCCACCTCACATAAAGTCCGCTGTCATCGATAATCTCAATTTTGATCCTAAATCCTTGATTTCCCTCGCCATCTCTTGCAATCGCCCAAATATTATGTACGCCACGCACCGTATCGTCGGCTCTCTCTCCAACTTCAGAAATCTTGATTTCCTCCTCTCTCCCTCGTTCACCTGTCCCCTAAAGGTCGTCGTATTCCATGACGACACACAGCAATGTTCCGATGCTGCTAGTTATCAAGGTTCCTTGCTCCCCCCTGAGTTCCGCAACAAAGGTTTAATTCGACATTATCACGGAGGGATGTCGAAGGCGTATTTGAAAGAAGTTTTTGATGATTTCTCAAAGGATGACAGTGTCTGCCGGATATTACATGGAACTGAAGGCCTTTCTACAGTACGTGTTTAATCTGGTTGCGAATGTCCCTGCGCTGAGAAAAGACAGGGATTAGATGTTGGGTATATAGATGTTGTAGTTGATTACTGCGCCCCGCGGGCGGAGACCACTCCAATTCAACGAGGCGGCAGAGCTGGTCGGCGTGGTCAACCCTCGGTGTACCTTCTCATGGCAGAACCTTGGGTTTATACCGCCTCTCTCGATGCCGTGGATCCCAACAGCAGCGATCCGGATCGTCCGATTTCAGGTCAACTCCTCAAGTCTTCTCGGAAGCCGGAACGTGCTGGTCTGGCAGTGGTTCAGTATGTGCGCTCTGAAACATGCCTCCGTGAAATGCTTGCACGTTACCTGGGAGATAAATCTCGAGAAGGCGAGATTCAACCCTAATTCTTGCTCGGTGCATTCTAATTAAAATATTTCAGCTCTTAACATCTCCACTGAATCATGTTGTGACCGTGTACATCCAGATAAACCCGATATTCAATTCGACAAATCGAAATTCTTTCCGGGCCGCTTCATTTACGAGGACGAAAGCGGAGCCATATATGCCGGAGACGTTGATGATCCTGGCCGCATTCATCTCAATCCCCCAAAGACGAAGAAACGGAAGACGAAGGGACCTAAAAATCGTAAGGTTGCTGATCGCGCTGACCTCCAAGCACGTCTAGGTGAATGGCTGGCCTCGTCACATGCAACTGATCCCTTGCGTGCTGTTCGACCCTCATCGTTCATCTTGGATGCCCAGGGAATCAAATCGTTGTCTGCTGTTCATCCGGATCGAATGCGCACTGTGGCAGACATCATTGCGGTGCTGAAAGAGACATCAGAATGGGAAGAAGAATGGGGTGCAAAGGTTTTTGCGCTGATTTCCGCATACAACGCCGAACTGCAGCGGCTGGCAACGAGGTCTCGAAATGCTACTGGGAGAAAGAAGGGCCCAAGGGTAATGGATGATGACGATGTCGAGGAGCCGGAGCCACGGGCAAAGAAGGCAAGAACGGGAATACCCCTGGCAGAAGTCTCGCTTAATGTACGACATAGTACAAGGTTGGCGGCAAAATAAATTACATTGAATTAACTGTATTCGTCCGGAAGGGTTGACATATATATGCAAGAAGATTATGGATTTTGGTGTAACTGTCTGTTGTGCGGTGTCGACGCGAAAAAAATGAATCTCGATCCAGACCATTGAGGTCCTGGTCTGGATAGTCGGGATTAGGCTCATGGAAATCGTTTGGTTGGAATGGATCATCGTCAAGAGACAGGTGCAACGATGAAGAAAGAGGAAATGAATCAGCCGACTCGGGGCGTAAATGCAGACGGGGTAAAGAAGCAGGGGTAATAGGAGGACGAAATTGGATTCTGGATGTGAATACAGAAGCATTAGAGGTGGAATTAGGGCTCAAGTCAACCGAAGAGGATGGAAAACTTGTCTGTGTGCCTGTATCGGTGACAGAGAAGGTCGATGTCCCGGCGCTGAGTTTGGTTTTCCAATAGCTGTGTTTGGTTTTGGAATAGAATGCCCATGTTTGGCTTTGGAATAGCTGTTATTGGTTTTGAAATAAAGTGCCTTGTGTTTGGTTTTCCAATAGATGTGTTTGGTTTTCCATAGAGTGCCCTACCGCCAATTCCCGCCTTTCCCGCCACATGCCGCCCTTCTCCAGAATATCATTAACATGAGTTGTACGACATATTTCGAATCAAAAACTTCAGAAATATCCTATCCTTCTCAACAACTGTGATCTACATGAAAGCGCCGACAATTGGAGCATTTTTGAGATGTTGAAAATCGTCGCGGTCGACGACGATGAGCGGAGTGTCGCGTCCGCCGTCTACTGATGCGGCAACCTCGGCTCGGTGTCATCCAGAAGTACTTCGGACTAAGTGACTGATGTGACAGGACCCGAGCAGGTGGCCTGGCTCGTTCTTAAATGAGATTTCTGACACTTTTCAAAAAATCGATGTAAAACAATTTATTGACCCTATATATCGAGAATCTGAGACCATAGGATTGTTCCTTGAACTAAACTGAGAAAGCATGCAATCTTCAGTGGAAGACAAAAAGAACCGAGATACTTGCTCAAATGATGGCCGCTGTGGCCGAGACGATCAATCTTCCGAATCCGACAATCATCCCCATGTTCTCATCCCTAAATTGGGACACCCCGCCATGGCCGCCTGGCGAAATGGCATCGCGTCTGACTACGATTTTCATCCTGGAATGATATTTGTAATCAGGAGATTGCAGGTTCGACCCCTGCGGTGGTCATTCTTTTTGCAGCTTTTACCCTATTATTTTACTCTATCCTAGACTTACTCCCCCGCTAAATTATCAGCCTTCCGCACCCCGTATTAACTTGTCTTGCGGGGCAGTCGGGGGATGACACGCGTACGACTGAGTTCGGAACTTGAACTTGCAATTGATTTACCTTTAGAACTTATGTGCTACCCCCGCCCTTAAGGTCCTACTCTTTATGAAATTAAGCCTGTCCGAAGCCTTTAAACTCCGCTTATGGACGTTTGAACCCGGACCTTTGGAAGCGCCAGTCAAGTGCCCGCCGCCGCCCTCGGGATTGCACTGCTTTATTACGTTTTAATGCCTCGCTCATTCAGCCTTCTCGATGGGCTATTAATGCATGTCTTTCACTTATTTAGCCGAAGTGCAGGGGCGCTTCGCGCCCCTGCACGCTCTTGTGTGTATTACAAGTACAGTACAGGATCCGGAATGATCCTGTTCCACGAAAGGTATTTGTTTGTGGATCCTCCAACGTCGGACCCGAGACGTGTCCTTGAATGTCAGGGTGCGTTCTCGAATGTCGGAGTAGGTCGGATTGGGAGGGCCGGGCGCGTGGTTGAGACACCGATTACAAGTTAAGTTGGAACGCCGATTATCAACGAAGTGGTTGAAACGCCGACTATCGGCGTTGCATTTTTCGACGCCGAGGTGTGTTGAGCGGCCGAATCCCCACCCAGTATGGGTCGGGAGACCGAGAAAGGGGAACACCGAGTCGGAGTTGGAGTCGGAGTTGAGACACCTCTGAGCGCGAGATGCAGGGCAGAGAGAAAGAGGAAGAGAAAGGGAAGAGGCCGAACCCAACGGATTATACTTACCCAATTCGAAACGGCGTGGATGTAGATAACAGTGGACACTGGAGACGCGGAGGTTCGGACGCGGGGAGGAGTTGAACCTGGACCGAGTGTGTTAATAAAGTTATTATGTACAGTGTGGGGAGCCGCGCGAATTCGAAATGCCGGCCGAGGGTTGGGTAAATGTAAATGAAAGGCCGAGGACGGATATCGAGGACTCGGAGTTGCGACTTTTTTTTTATTAAAAAAAAAAGAAACGGTAGACGGATCGGAGGCGGGGGAGGAAACCGTATGGGGTATGGGGACCCGTGAAACGCCGACCGAGGCGAGGCTTGGGTAGGTAGATGTTGATTTAGAAGGCCGAGGAATATGAATATTAATATGGGGACTCGACGTGCGAAACACCGGGGCCTGGAGTCACGCGAGCGGCAAAAGTCGAGAGTTATCTGGATCCGGATATGATTGCTTAGGGCGCTTCTGTCAGAGGTAATTGAAACGGACCTGATAGTCACTGATAACTTACTGAGCCGCAGATATGATAGGGATATGTACTTGCTGATACTTATGAGTATGAGTATAATAAATGATACAAGCGGCTGCCGGGCCGCTTCGCGGCCCAGCATCCTCTTCAGTTAGGTAGTGAGATGTACATTCTGAATGCCCTTATCTGCGTAAACCCATGACCTGAGTGTATTTGACGGAGAAGTGATGAAAGGTGATTGTACGGGGGCAGGAGAAGGCGGAACCGCTCGGCATGGAGCGCCGAGATATCTGAGTTTCAAAGGACAGAGGATAGATAGACACTTAATGTTATAAGTACAGAGGGAGAATACTGCCTGGCATTTTGCTTGATCTGTTCAGCTGTTTCCGAATGAATTTGAAGCGATACCCGATACGTTGGCTTATAATGAGCGAAGAATAAATAGACTGACCCATTATTTAGGGCAGGTCTCGGCGAAGAGATCCGGCGAGCGGAGATTAAAAAGGCTTCGGACAGACGGACAGACACACGTAATTGTATAAAAAGGGTGATGATAGAGAGAAGAAATGGATTATCAGTAATTGCCGCCAAGAGAACTTCGAAGTGCTGTACTGTACTGTAGTTGAAGATTCTGAAGAACCGCTCGGGCGGGGCAGTGAACGTGACGCTTGAATTGACTTGAGTACATACCTACAGTAGAGTCTACGGCTCGACTCGGATGGGGTAAGTTTGTTTTGGTCCTTGGAGTTCCGAGTCGAGTCGGCGCGGGGTGAACGGGGATCAAGTTAACCATGGCTCGTGGCTCGGAGACGCTGACGCTCGGACATCGGGGTCGGCGTCGGATGTCGGGTGTCGAGCGTCCGGCGGGACAGGTGCGGGCGGGATTAAGCAGCCGAAGCTTGAAAGGGGGTTGTTGAAGGTTGAAGGTTGAAGGTTGAAGGTTGAAGGTTGAAGGTTGAAGATTGAAGTTGGGTTGGGTTGGGTCGATTCAGCGTTGGTTGGTTGGTTGGTTGGTGTTCGGCCACGAGCGTTAACGTTGGTTGAGCCACGGGGGCAAAGCAGAGATGACGTACGCATGGGCAACGCGGATTGTGATCCGTCTCATTTCATCTTCATTTCGCTTGCGACTCGGCGTCGGAGGTGAGGTGCGCATGTTCCGTTTCCGTTTCCGTTTCCGTTTGTTTTCTTGTTCGAATTACTTTACGTTGCGGGCCTACTCGGAGACGGATTATTAGGGTGTTTATTTCGCGAGTGGTGTGTTCGCTCTATGGCCAGTTCAAAATCTCTCTGTTTGCTGTCCTTCGCGTTGAGACTTAGACTATGATTCGGGCCAGGCGCCGAGATGCTGTATTGTGGACCAGGACTAGTGCCAAGCCGCAGCCGTACTTATCAGTTACTTATCACTCGTTGTCTTTCCTCTTCATCTTGGTTATCAGACTAGAGATTGAGGATGGGATTCGGATTGGGATTAATTAAATTGTTCAAACGAGTCGCCGAGTCGCCGCAGGCCAAGCGCAGCCCGGCGTCCCCTCTTTATAAAATTACGTCTGTCTGTCTGTCTGTCTGAAGCTTTTTAAGCTCCGCTGTCAAAATTCTGTCTCCGACGTCAGCTGACTGCCTTAAATTACGACACAACTTATTTATTCTTGACTGAGTGTCGGCCAACCTATCGAATATTGCTTCAGATTCATTCAACAAGAGCTCTGCAGATCAAATCAGATGAGGTGCAAGCCCATGCAGGCATGCTCAATTTGATGAAGAGGTATGTCCATGCTGGATGCCATGTGATCCGTTTACCCGCACCCTGATTCAAAATGCAGGACGCCGAAGTGACGTTCTATAAATAGTTTTATTGCGTCGGACCCCGCGGCGGTCAGTCGGCATCCTTATACATTGGTTTTCGTTTTCGTTTCTCGTACATGCTCGGCCCGACTACGAGTGTGTTTGCCGCTCCTTGGCATACGGTGTTTGACATTTCAATAGTCCAACCATTCTTCCGGTCCGCGGTTCATATTATTATGTCAGTGATTCTCGGAATTCGCTGCACTCCTCCGTCCGGCCGTTCGCCTGGTGATTTCAATGGGAATCCCCACACCACGCAATGAGTTTTGACGATGAACCATGTGCCCGTTCATACTGATAAAACTCGGCTCACAGTCGGGGATACAAGAACGTATTCTCCCGACGGGATTTCGTTCCGGTGAGTTGGTTTTGCATTCATATATGCCATCATTCTCAGCCGCGCGCAGACGCTCAAGTCCGGACATACTCCAGGACCCCGTCGCCCCCGTTAAATATTGGGTGCTCCATGTTCCCTGAATCGCTCACACGGAACGCGGAGCTCGATTTCCGGTGATGCACTGCAACATGCCCAAAGATCACGTGGCACGCCTGCCTCTGCAATTTCTTTTTGATCATAGTCATGTCGAGCGTGGAACCGGTCAGAGCCGAACCTCACGCAATTTCCCTCTAGCTCTAATCCGCTTACAGGACTTACACTTGCCGCCTCATGGTTAGTGGGGGCAGCGTATCGTGATATTTACATGAATATGAGGAATTCATCATGTATGTTCAGAACTATACAATTGAAGAACATGAAATGTCCTCAATTCCATGAACTGATCGAGGATTTTAGTCAATGCAATAGTGGTACTTACGATTGAACTATGCTCCGTGCCAATGATGGAACACACCATCGCATAAACCGCCGGAGCGAAGCGAAGGCATATCTTGTTCGAATTTTAAGAGTAGCACCACGTCACGAGCAGATTTGATTCAGGGCTTGAGGTTTCTTGGAAGGGCCTTGCAACAGGTGGGCAAGACTTGTAATGCCTTGCCAAGGGGTGGCCTGCCTGGGAGAGCCCTGTTAAGTGCTTTGCACGACGCGTCCAAGGCTGAGCGGCCTTTGCCGGAGTCACGAGGCGGATCGACATTTTTGGTGATGTAAGCGTCGAGGGTATCCTGTGGTGGGTGAAAGCCCTGCCCCCCGCACGCGCTCGGAGATCCCCGGAGCGGAGTTAGGGTTAGGGTTAGGGTTAGGGTTAGGGTTAGGGTTAGGGTTAGGGTTAGGGTTAGGGTTAGGGTTAGGGTTAGGGTTAGGGTTAGGGTTAGGTTAGGGTTAGGGTTAGGGTTAGGGTTAGGGTTAGGGTTAGGGTTAGGGTTAGGGTT